TCAATGTTTCAGTTATACTGTATGTAAAAAACTTAGATTTTGAGAGACGAAAAGGGTATATTTATATTGTTTTTCGATTGTTTGAAATAATTTTTTTTTCCGAAATGTTTGATCTTTGCAGCAAAAAATCCTTAGTAATCGGTAAAAATATCTTCAAATCTGTTTGAATAGCGAAAATGCCTCAAATATTTGAGTAACCAGTTATCTGTTATCAATCTAAATTATTCCGATATTGAGATTATCAATATCCTTGGGTCTTTCAGGCAGCAGCCACCCACCGATGAACCAGTCTGTAGCGATGCTACACGCACATGGCATACCTTTGTAATTGAACCTAAATTAAGGCTCCAAATTACTATTAAATATATGTAATCACACGTAACCGTTGCATAATTCGAAACACATGAACCTTTTATATATTCTTTAGAATCATATTCTTTATGTGAAAATATTATAATCAAGTGAGCTTGTTAAAACCTGTGATTTTAATGCTCAATTAAAACTAGCACCTTTGATTTTGGCGTTCAGGTTTCTGCTAATACTTGTGATTTTGGCGTTCAAGTTTTCGCTTGCACTCGTGATTATGACGTTCAGGTTCCTGAAATCAAAACTAGTACCCGAAAACTAGTACCCGTGATTACTACCTGTAATTCAGATGTGAAATGATATCAGTTATTGCATATTTATATATTACATATAATTTAAAATAACTAAATTTTTTGTTTAAAAATTATTTGGTAATTTATTTAGATGGTACTTTATTTAATTCTATTATATTTTTGTAATATTCACATCTATCTAATTAAAAAAATTTTGTCATATTTAATTGTGTAACATTGAAAGTGTGCCAAATCTTTAAACTAATACATTTTTACAGTTAATTAATTTTAACTGGATTTTTTTTTATTCTGATGGATTAATACTAACAAAAAAAAGTATAATTTCTCTTATGCATTTATTTGTGGTTATTTCCGCTCTCTTAGTTACCAGTTACCACGAACCATTTCTATAATAATAATTTTTTTCAGTTTTTACCAAAAAACTGAAACTACCTTTTTAGTCTTAATTTTTTTATCCCTCTTTTTATCATTATTGTTTCTTTTGGTTAACCAAAATTTTTTCAAACAAAAAAAAGAATAAAATATTTTTTGGTTAAAAAAAAATCCAAAATTTTAATAAATTTTGATTAAAAAAAAATCCTCTAAAAAAAAATCCAATAAGAAATAGGTCAAGACTATAGAACTATGTCCTACGGCTTTTTGTGAGATTTTTTTTAGTCAATGATATTGTTTCTAACAAATAAATTCGTGTGAAAATTTTTTTTTAGTGAGAAATTTTTTTTTGATATTAACGAATTTTTTTTGTGAAATTGTTTTTAATTATTGTAATTAAATCAATAAATTTTTTGATAAATCTATATAACTAAAAAACTATATAACCAAAAAAATTTGTCTGACGTTTGGATTAGTCTCTGCATAATAATTTGAATTGTGTAACTTGAAATCCATGCCATATAATTAAAACCCGTGACATACCTCCACCTGATCTATTTATCCGTGTACATTCCAACTAATACAATTTCATTTTAATTTTTAAATTTTTTCAAACTGAAAAAAAATTTTCTCCCTTTCTTCTTTCGGTTTAGTTTTTTTTCAAATCGAAAAATTTGTTTTTTCTCATTCTTTTCCCGTTTAGGTTTAATTTTTTTTCCCAAACTGAAAAATATTTTTTTTTTCCGAATTATTGTAAAATTTTTTTCGATACTTATTTTTTTCAGATTCCTTAATTTCTCTTTTTTTGAACCGATTTCTTTCCCCAAATTTATTTTTAATTTTTTTTTTCTTTCAATTTTTTTAAAAAAATCAATAATAACATGTAGAAAGATGATTAAGATTTTCAATTAATTAAAGAAATTGTTGATTTAATAATAGACTATTATAACCAAATCCATATCCGAAATTCTCTAAATAATCACCAGATTTTGAATAAAAATTCTAATTCAAATGGTTTAGTTAAATTGATAATTTATCGAATAAAATGAGTATCAAAAGAATAATAAGAAATGAACAGATTTCTAATACATTTAATTGTTCAAATATTTTTCCTAAGTTGATTATAAGTTTAAAATTGACGTAATATAAAATAATAAGAAATAATTAATTAATTAATAAAAATATTTGTAGTATTTTTATAATATTAAAGTTTTTTCAAAAATACTTCTAAAAAATAAATCAATTTTTATTGATAATTATTTTTTCACAATTCCTAATTAATCCGAATTTCACTCTACACTCAAACATCAAATCATTAATAATTTATTATTTATATCACTAGCAGTAGCCCGTTGCTTCGCATCGTTCGCATCAGGTTGTATAAATTGATTGATCGTCACACGTTTATCAAATTTAGATCTTTGCTAAAGAAAGTGACTAAATTAATTTTGATGGAAAAAAGGGTTACAGTATGTGATATATCAGTTATAACTTTAAATGTAAAATGTAAAATTTAAATAATTTCTGGAAGTCTTGGCAATTAATATATAATTTGACGCAGTTAAAATTTTTAATTTATAACGTGAGTGGTCATTTTAATTTTGGGAGAAAGTTGCAAAGGTATAATTCCGGCCAGAATTATACAAATTTCATTTTCCTGCACATTAGTAATTAGAATGAATTTGCCGATCAAGTGGTCTTGCATAGATCAGGCGCAAACAAATCAATAGATCATATTAAATGTTACACAACATTAGTAGTAATTAATATGTTTATAAGAAAACGTAATAGATCAAGTGTAGAGGCGCGGATGAATAACACATTGGACAATTCAAAGATTATTTATATAGGCTAATCTAAACGTTAGTCAACACAAACACAATTTTTTTAATTATATAGATTCTAATATTATAAATATAATTTAATACATATTTTTTATTACGTAATTATTACCATATTAAATTCCTAATTATGTATAAACAAAAAACTTCTTTAATTTACTTAGTATTAGTACATTATAATACTAAATCTTTCTATTTAAAAAAACTCATTGGTCCCAGTGCGAAGCAACTGGTGACAGCTAGTAAGTTTGATTTTAATTTTCTTTTTATTATGATAAAAGTTTTGATAACCCAATTTTTAATTTTATGCACACAAATACATTATCTGTTATTCTTTAGAATATGAATTATATCAATTATATTTAAAAAAGCTTCATACTAGTATAATTTAAACTAATTAAATTTTTTATTTAAAAAATTATTTGGTAATTTAGATAGTAAGTTATAAGTTGTTTATTGAATTCTTTATTTAAAAAATTATTTTACAATTTATTTTAGTTATTAAGTTTCAATAATTTCAAACATCACATTTGAAGGGATGGAAAATTTGATTACCTCGAAGTTTAAAATGATCATCATTTCCACACTTTTAAAAATTTAAACTAAAAATAGAATGATTAACAATCCATGGAAATCCACGCTTTTAAATTAGCACGTGACAATCGTGACATTTGACCAAATCGAAAGGTTAACGAAAAATGAAATTTATTATAAATATGAAGATATTCAATGTCATTTTGATAATCAGGATAATTAACTACATAGTTATTTATAAAAACAAGAAAAGAATCCCTTCAAAGTTTATATAGTGGCCAAAAATATTACAACAATCATTGTCTCAGACTCTCAGTTATAAAATAAAAACTCAACATCAATCCTATACTTCATTCCAGAAACCCATGATTTGTTACTATGCGGCTAAGTGAGGCCATCCTTAGCCCGATCCACCGGTCCAGATGCTTATTCTGGACCAGTCAACTTTTGATTGGCTAATCGGTACTTTTATTAACTCCGCATAATTTATTTTATCTCTCGCTCTTCCTATCTCTCACTCTTTCTCTATTCCTTTTTGTGGTATTTTAGTACTTAGTATTTCATATTTCATTTCAGTTTGTATATTTTAATTATTACTGTATTTATTGTATTTTTATGATAATACTAAATGTTTTATTTTCTTTTTCTTTTTGAAGAGATTTAATATATCAGATATATTGATATCATTCTGGAAATCATGTTTTTTTTTTAAAAAAAAAAAAGTTTTGGGGTTAAGCAAAGTTGTTCAAAAAAGGTTGTAAATTACACATTTATAGCATTACTTTTAAAGCTAACATAGTATTACTTTGTACTATTGTTTTGATATTAACGCTAAAATAATTTTAATAATAAAATTACAGTAAAAAATAATGTAAAGACCTTTTTATAAAACTATATATGCAATTTTACTATTTATTAATAAAGTTTAATAAAATGCATACCAGAATACAAATTTTAAATAACATATTTAGTTTTTTTTTTTAAAACAGTAACGCGTTTATTATTCATGAACTAGATCTAGCGATCGAAAAGTTACATAATATAATATAACACCTAGAAAAAAGCAGATACAAAATCATGCTTCCCTCTATAACTGAGTTTAGTCTAGTCTAAAGAAAAAAAAATAGAAATTGAACTATCTTTGTTAGTCTAAAATCTATATATTATGTATTAACATGTTACTATTCTAAATTTTTAAATATTTTTGTAATTTTCTAAGTTTTCTAATAACAAAACCATACAATGCTAAATTATCTCAAAATAAAAACATAAATTGTAGTTAAAACAAAATAAATTGAAAAGATAAAAAAATGAAAGAACAAATAATTATTACATTAAAAAATTAAAATCCCAAATCTAAGCTCTTGATGGAATAGTATCCAACTTAGCCGAAAGATAATCTAAATTTTCATCTGCGTATAATCTTCACACAATTCCAAGCGTAAATCTTGAGATTTCAATTCGTGATTTGTATAATTTGTTGGACGTATTTGTTCATTTGCTGTCAGAATCGTCCCTACGTCTTTGTGTTGTCACTACTCGTTTTTTGTTTTTATTAACATCATCTTTTTCCATTGTCTCCAAATCAATTGTTTTAACAGGTGCCTTTCTAGGCGGGAGGTAAAATTATTATTCAATTATCCAATTCTTCGTGCTCTTCCTTACTTCTTGGTATCGTAGAAAGAGGACTTGATTGAGCATCTACAAATGTGTCACCTTTCGATGTTGTTGCTGTAGGTACTCTAAATCTGTTTTTTCCAGTACTTTTTTTTATATACCCCATTTGATCCGATCAACTCCTCTTGGTTTTTCATTTGCAAACCATTTCCCATGTCTTCGTCCATGGTGGATCTATAAATTGCCTCTAAATTATCTCTTTCATTGTTGAAGTATATCAAAATATATTTAATTTGTTAATTTTGATAACTTTGGCAAAATGACCACCGTATGTTTTTACAAATTTTTTAACTACTTCATATTCTGTTCTCTTCTTGTCTTTTTCATCTAATTTTTTATATGCTTGCCAAGAGTATCTTTTTTTAATTTGCCCTGCGTCCAGCTTTGTATCAAACATCCTGAAGAAGTAAGAACATTCGTTTCTTTGTACGGCTACAGTATATTAGATCTGCCTTTTAAATATAAATCTTCCATTGTTTTTGTTAGGCGGATTTTAGCTCGAACAGTCCTGTACTTATAATTCCATCTGACTTCAAGCTTCTCTACATAACCAACTTGTTTTAACGTTTCATATATTTCATTATCTTTCCAGTAAGCTGGGAAATCGTAAAATTTTAAATCACGTGATTGTTCGGCAAAGTGTTTTTCCAAATAATCATCATCAGAAGTTGTTTCTTCCCTTTTTTTATTTCTTATGTCGATGACGATTGTGGCGTTTGGTCTTACTACCTGACTTATTAGATTTATCTTCATTTCTCGTCTAATAGGTTTAAATTTTTCTCCTTATTTTTTTGATAGCTAATTCTTCCATTTCTATTAATTTTTTTTTTTTAAATCGTGTATGGTTTCCTCTTTTTAGTTTTTTATTTTTAGTTTTTTTTTTTATTTTATATTGTACTAAAGGCCTATATTCGGCCAAAATTCACCCCAGCAAAATGATCGACATAGTTTATAAGCTGGAGTTTTGCGCACCAGATCCTAGCTTATAAACTACCCATGGGCATATACAGCCCACGGGTTCTGATTGGTCTAAAAGTAAGGATATTATTGTCCATAATAAAGGACATTATTGTCCTCACTTTGTAGGACCATGATGGTCCTCACCATGGAGGACAATTATTGTCCGCACATTATTGGAGGACTATGGTGGTCCTCACTATGGAGGACATTATTGTCCGCGTATTATTGGAGGACCATGATGGTTCCTCACTATGGAGGACATTATCGTCCGCGCATTATTGGAGGACCATGATGGTCCTCACTAAGGACATTATTGTCCGAGCATTATTGGAGGACCATGATGGTCCTCACTATGGAGGACATTATTGTCCTCACATTATTGGAGGACCACACTATGGAGGACATCATTGTCCTCACATTATTGGAGGATCATGATAGTTCTTATTCTATGAATAATTGAAGAACTAATAAATAGTAAAAAATGATAAATATGTAATTTGTAAATTTTAAAAAATTACATATTCAGTTGGTATAAAGTTCTAATCATACAAAATATAATAGAATACCTGTATTTACTACTAGTAATTTTTTAGTATTAATTTTAAAAAACCAATTTGTATTTTCTTATTTATGCATAATTTAAAAAAAATTTTATTTTGTATTATATTCTATTTTATAATAATAATAAAAAAAATAAAAAATGCCAATAAATTTATTATACATTATTTTATAAAAAACCAAATTGTAAAATTTTAAATTTCTTCTAAATTAATATTTAAGTAGCTTTCCATATAAATAACAAAAGATGATTTATTTGACCAAAATGATGAAATTACATTTTGAAATTAATTTGAAATAGAAAAAAAAATTAGAATTAGTATTACAAGAAAGTTATTGCTTAGTGCGTTATTAAAGTTTTTTCGATTTTTTATCACTGGTACAATAAAGATTTATTTTTTGATACTGCGTGATTGTACGCGTGATGATGGTCAAACACGTCAAAGATTTTCTCGGTAAAGATCAAAATGCTGATATAATAACAAGAAGAGTAATATGTCCAGTTTATTTTGGAACACCTATAGAGGCAGGAAAATTGATTAACATCATGATGACATGTTTCAAGAAGCTAGCCGAGCACAAAATCAATATACCTTATTATTGCTTTGCGGAATATAAGAGTTCATTTGATTGTTAATATCGATGATGTAAATTATGGTAAGTTTGAATATTTTGTTTTTTCTTTTTTTTTATTTGCACAAGGCGGATAAAAGATTCACCAACTAGGTGGACACCTTTTTATATAATTCACAGGATTGATTTTGTTACACGCTTTTGAGGGGAAATTATGTTAATATGATCGCATCACGAAAATCTGATCAACAGCCTCTCCTTAATTCAATAATAAAAAAATTTAACGCCATCCCATATATAAAAAGAGGGCATCGGTTTAATCCGCGCAAATCTGCTAGAACTTTCCGGAAAATTTTTTGTTAATAAATCCTCAAAAACTATTACAGGCGTAGTTAAATCACATGCCCAGACCACAAATCAGATATCATGATATGCTACTGCGCCAATTTTGAGAAGGCAAGGATTTTTCAACTACCCCAGCCGCACCGGCAAAATTTTGCACACAGGGCCGCATTACGTCGTTATGCACTAACACGTGAAAATAAACAGTGACGAATAAAGGTGATGAATAAGGTTTTGCCTACTCGAAAAAAACTAAGTCTCAGATAAATATAAACAGTGAAACTCGGACGTGTGATGAATAAAAAGCGATCACGTGACTGTGCAAAAATTGCCGGTGCGACTGGGCTAGTTGATTTTCCGATGTCTGCGGTAGATTATTTTTTAACCTTTTAATTTACAGCAGTTGAAATTGGTTAATTTTTATAAAGTTTTTCAGGGATACAGGACGTTTAGTTAATGACTTAAATCCGGGGATCATTTTATTTCGCCATATAATAAATAATTATAAATCAAAGTATAAAGGATCGTGTTCTATGAATTGATCTTGCTTCGTCTAAAATATAAATAAATCATTTATATTTACATAATATCCAATCATTCATGTGAATGAAAATAATGTTAATATTGGTGATATTAACAAAAAGTTCAATTTTTGATTCTATTGATATTTTTGCCTATTGATATTGATATTGATATTGACACTATAATTCTCAATATTGACCAGTGAATTAATTTAATTGACCAAAAAATATTAATTATCACATAATTGATCGTGTTCTTAATCATAGGATTCGAGAAAATTTGTATTACGAGTAGTAAACTTTGCCCGCATTATGATTAATTTCGGCCAGCATTAGGTTGATATTCTAAATTTACTAACATTGATTGATCAATTGATTGAATTAAAAAATTATGTTTTCTTTGAAATACTATTGTTTTTACTTAAAAAATATTAAATTAATTTCATCCACTTTCTGCTATATTATAACTTGAAGAATGCGTCAAATAACACAATTATTATATGAATACAAATGTTAAAAAAAAAGATCACTTACTATTAAATATGAGTGTGATTGTATGAACAAAATCTTGAAGATAACCAAAATGATTATTTTAATATAATGTTTAATAATATCAAAAATTCCTATCACTATCATGTACGGTACACTATGACACTATCCACCGAATTTAGCGAATATATAGTAAAATACGATAGTACTGTACGGTACTACAAATTTGGACAGACGTTCGAAAAAATCTTTTTAATTTTTCCGTACTCAGAAGGACTATCAAAAATAAATTTTGATTTTCCGTACTAATAATTTTACATCGTAGCATCATGTGATAGAACTTTAAATATTACAATTACATAATATAATAAATCTGATTAATTTATATATTTGTAGTGTAATGATTTTAACGTTTTGTTTATTATATATTTGTCATAAATACTTCTTTTTAATCTTACTGCTTCGAAGAAGAAAAATAATTGTAAATATGAATATTAATAATATATCCGATGTTGAAGAACTTTCCAATTGAATTGGTAAATTCTGAATTTGAACAGATTTATATAATTATTATGACTTTATGAGTCAATTTATTATTATAGAGCTGAATATTATTAAAGAAATAGAAATTTATAAGCTTATTTTCAAAGAGTTTAATTGATATATTTATATTTTTTAACATAAAGTATTTTATTAAAAAAACAAAACATATACGAAATTCAAAATTGTACGAAAATTCAAAGTCGTATGAAAATTTTAAAAACATTCGTACGTACTAGTATAAAAAACTTTATCTGTTAGAAACGTACGTACAAACAAAAAGGATTAAAGTCCGTCCAAATTTGTATTACCGTACAGTACTACTTTACTTAATACCTGAATTTAGCAAACCTATCTTGTTATATATATATACGTATATATATACTGTACATATATAATACTTTTCCTCTGATAAAGAATTATTCATTAATAATGATGATTATGTATTAATACTATAAATAGTATTATTTGTTATTTATTTACAGATTAAAAAATACCCATTTTCTAAGGGGCTATCTCTGCTCAAAAAAAAAATTTTTTTTTTTAGGAGGATGAATAAAATAAAGTTAATTATGTTTAATGTAAAAGCAAAATATGGTGGAATGATTTGAATGGAGATAATTGATATTTAATAATCATTTAATTTATTGTAAAAGATTAGGATCGTAATATAAATCAATTAGGTAATTGCTGAATCAAAAAGCGAAGAAAAAAAATAACATATTTGCTTATTAACGCTTATATAATTTAATAGAATATCATGTGATTAACTTGATCTAACTACTTTAAGTTCCTAAATAATAGGCTATAGTTTTTGATTATTATTCCTTAGAAAATGTACTACGGTTATTTGATTAAAATATTAGACTTAATAGTTATATATCTAATAATTAATTACGAATATTTGAATCCATTAAACTATAATGTGTGTAATATTGCATCAAAATTTCCAGTTGTCAGAGAATCACATTTAGACATTTAGTATAAAATTGCTTTTTTATCCTTTTAAATCTATTAAGGTCATTAATTATTTAAACCCTTTAGACCAAAACTATTTATTACGCATAAAATGATATAATCAAATATTAAAATCTTTATTTATATAATTTGTATAGAATATTCTTAAATATAAAATCCAATAAATCAATATGTACTGTAAATATAAAAACTAAGATAAAAAATTTATAAAGTATAACAAATAAATGAAAGAAAAATAGAACTTCAATAACTTCAATACATAAACTATCTGACTTCAACTTTCACATAAAAAGAAACTTCATTCAATATTATCTTCAACATCTTGACAAATTTCATTTAGTTCTATAAAAAATAATAAATTAGTTATAGAATATTAATAAAATTACAAATAATAATTACTTTACCTAATTCACTTAATTGAACATCTAAACATTCTGAAACTGTATATTATGTATTATGTTATAGTATTAAAATGTTAATAAATTTAAATAAAATAATTATAATAATAAAGGGAATACTTACTTGGATTTGCTGATGTTGTTTGAGCAGTATAACTAGTGTCTATTAAAAAAAAAAAAATAACATTAATAATGTAAAATGGATTATATGATAAAACAAAATTAAATTTAATTACCTGAACTGAATTGAAAAGATGTTAAATCTGAAGAATTTACTGGTTTTGGAAGATTTTTGAAATTTAAAAGTCTACTAGTATAAATTGCTTGTGGATGCGTTTTGAAGCTTTTGGATTTTTCTTCATTTGATCTGTTTTTGAATTTTTCCTCTCTAATTTTATCACATTCATTTGTTTGAATATAAATTTCAGCTTCACTATTATATTTTGCTGTATACATATCATCATACCATTTCTTTAATAGTTGATACAATTCTTTAGCGGTTGGTCTATTTTTTATTTCAGCATCCCAACATTTTATTATCAAATCTGCAATTAACTTTGGTATGTCTTTAGGAATTGTTGGTCTAAGTCCTTTACATATTTTAATAACTAAAATTTCATCATGAGAAATATCATTAAAAGGAATTTCTTCAGAAAGTAATTCGTTCATTATTATTCCAAATGAGTAAATATCTGCTGCTTTTGTATATTGTTGTCCACGTAAAACTTCTGGTGCCATATATGGTAATACTCCATAAATTCCTTCTTTAACTGTTTGCTTTATATTTGCTGGTTGGCACATTCCTAAATCACTTATATATGGACTACCTATTTTATTAAGTAATATATTACCTGAATGAAAATCTTTGTGAACTTTTTCAGCATTATGAATATCTAAAAGTCCTCTTGCAATTTTTAGTAAATTTTCAATTTTTGACTTATAATTGATATAATTTTCAGATTTATTTAAATAATTTCTCAAATTTCCATATTCACAATATTCTATAACCATCATATACTCTTTATTATTTGGATCTTGAGTAATTCCAAAACATTGAACAATATCAAGATGATAAATCTGAAGATGAGATTTAATCTAATTATCATCAAAAAGGAAAAATTTTATTAATAAATAAAAGCAAATAACAATCTTTATATATAAGACAAAGTAAATTTAATTACCTCATTTAAAAAATCTGAACATATATCAGAAGAATCATTCAAACTTTTCAATGCATATTTATTATTTTGCCATCTAAACCATTTTTGATTTTCAATATCCCAATAATAAATATATCCTTCAGGCCATTCGGCTGAATAAATCTTACCAAAACCACCTTCCGCAATATAAGTGATATTTTGAAATTTTTCAAAAGGTATCCATTCAAGATATTTTTTATAATATACAGCATTAAGTTGTGATTGCTGTATAAATTCATCAATATCTTTATTTCCACTAGTCCAATTTTTAAAGTTATCTTTAAGTCTTTTAGCATTACAAGATTGACACCATTTCCATCCTGTGCCAGGTTCTTTACATTCTCCACATATTCCATACGCTTGTTTTCTTTTTTCTAAATCTCCTATATAAACTACTTCTTCATTTACATTTTCTGATTCAATAGTTGAATCAATAGTAGGAATTGTAATATGGTCCTTTAATAGACAAAAAACTATTAATATTTTTAACTACAAAAATTCAATAAAATAATTATAATTATAAAATATTAAATTGCTATTACCTGATATTTAGATCTATCCATATAATATTTCCATAAATTTTTTGGGGTTTCATCCATATTAATTGAGTTGTGGATTATAATTTTAATTTTAGTTAATATAAATAAATAACTACGTTACTCAAAATAAATTTCAAAATTATTATGGGTAAAAGAAAAAATTATGAATTGAACGAAGTTCAATAAATTGCGCACATTTTTTTTTTTTTTTTTTTTTTTATATAAATTGTGCACATTTGTATTACTTATTTGTATTACTATTTGTTCTACTATTGTATACAAATTACTATTTTTGTAACAAAGAAAATTCGTAAGCAGCAGCTGATCATCATAAAAAATAAATCTAACCCGAAATGGTTAAAATGAAAAATGCGAAGTAAAATTATTTCGGTTTTTTTTTCAAAAGATAAATAGCAATAAACCTATAATAGAAAAATCATTTTTAAATTATATACCAAAAATAAATTAGTTTGGAATAAAAATTTAATTAATATATTTTTAATTAGCGAAAATCAAGGTGTATACGGATTATAGTTTGCACATACGGTAAGCTTTTTATGTCATTACGCTAGGAAGATAAATAATAATATTGTATGATTGGTTAAATGAACCTTGTCTAGTAAATATGGTAAATGAAAGAAATGTAAGGTATTTCATACTATTATCCGTATGGAGAAGTTAATATTATGAAGATAATCAAACATTGAAGGATCGAAAATTTTATTGTATATACGTAAATCAATAATAATTTATTATGCAGTTTTAAATTGTGTAAATTTAAAACAAAAAAAAATATATTTATCTTTTAAATGATATTTATTTAATTATGTATTAAGAATATCAAGAGATATATTTTTGAACTGAGATCTTATTTTCCATATTACCTTTGCACTAATCTTACTAATCTTTGATGAGGCGTATAAAAATTGAGAATGAATAAAGTGTGAAAATTATGGTCAAGTAGTAAATAACACTTGTTAACAAATCCATTTCTACGATAAAAATATTAATAAATGTTTTTAAAAAGGGCAATCTAACGGACTACAGGTTTCATGAATATTTTGAATATTGTATTTTATAGAGAATTTTTCAAAATTAATGCAAAAAATGTCAAATACTTCACGCTGAATGAATATAATGCTCAGAAGTTGGAGAATGTTGAGAATGCTAATAAAAATTCAGTTGGTTTGATAGGTGCATGTTTTAAGCTTATTTACAAAATTACATTTCTATTAACTCATATTAAGCATAAAACTATAGCTTATGACATAATTGAGTCACTTTATAGAATTCATGATAGTAATGCAAATTCATCGAGATTTTACACAGGAAATATTTTATATTAAATATCATAATTCCTAGTATATAAGTGATTTTGGATTTTTTATAGGTCTTAGAGACATAGGTAACATTATTCGATAAAAGATCATTACTTTTTCAAAATATAAATTTGAATGATGAGTTACAATCAATTATGATTATAATTTATGGAGAAAGAAATTATTTAAATTTTTATACAAGTTCAACATTTGTCTATCATAATTTGTATAGTCTCTTTTATATACGTATAAAAAGATCAAATATATCAAGTGTATTAGCAGTTTTTAGATTAATATACATTAAGTTTTACATTCAAGCAATTATTAAGTATAATAAGTATAACAATTTGAAACTTTTGATCATAAAAATTCTTTATTTTTAATATTTCATACGCTTGTCTACTTTTATCTTATAAATACAATACATACTGTACATACATAATTATGGATTTGTGAACTTTTTTTTTTTTGATAAATAGTTAGGATAATATAGAAAATTTTAGAAAATTAAAAAAAAATTTAAAATACTGTAAAATCCAAAATTGATATACGCATAGGATTGTTTATAATTATATTTTATATTTTTATAAATATCTAATAAAGAAACATGTATTAGTTGATTTGATCTAATAAGTAAGTTTGATTTAGTTAATCTGATTATTTTGAACAGAAATTTAAAATTCTAATAAAGAAAATTTTCAAAAATTCAATAAGTGATCATCCTTACATTTATCAAAGATGATATAATATGATGGGGATTTTTAAGGGGATTAGTTTTGATTATAGATCGACAATATGCATAACTAGTATAAATTCAGTTTAATTAAATATTTTTTTTTTTTTTTTCTTAATTTTAAACATTTTAAAATGATGTCTTCAAAATTTTTAGCAGAATTATCAAGTGATTATGAAAAACTTTTTGAAACAGAATTAGGATATGATGTTATCATTTATGCTGGAGAAGAGTCAAACGTTAAAGAAATTCATGCTCATTCAAATATTTTGTGTATCAGGTCTCAATATTTTCGTTCTGCATTTTCTAATGAATGGTCTGAGAAAAAAGATGGAAAATTTATTTTAAGAAAGCCAAATATTTCTCCTCGCTTATTTAATATCATTCTCAGGTAATATATAAATATTAACAATGATTGCAAACAAACAAATAATTTTAAATTTGAAAATTTTATTTGTATTTAATTAATATTATATATTTTATTAATAATAATTTATTAGATTTATTTATTGTGGAAATATTGAATTGAAAAATTTACAAGGCCCTGAAATATTGAAACTTTTGATAGCAGTGGATGAACTTAATATTCAACAATTGATTTCTTATATTCAAGAATATTTAATTGAACATCAAACCGAATTTTTGCATCAAAATCCAACTGGTATTCTTGAAACTATTTATCAATATGAAACATTTACTGATTTATGGAATTTTTGTCTTGAAAAAATTTGTGAAGAACCTAAAATTTTATTTAATTCAGATAAATTTATTGATTTAAAGGCTCCATTATTGAAAATGTTGATTAAACGAGATGATTTAAATATGGAAGAAATTGAGATTTGGGAAGGTTTATTAAAATGGTGTTTTGCTCAACAAAACATGATAAATGATCCAACAAAATGGAGTAAAGATGATGCTATAAAAATTGAGAGATCATTACACAGATTTATTCCTTTAATTAGATTCTATGATATTAACCCTGCAGATTTTTTTTATAAAGTTTATTGTTATAAAGAAATATTGCCTCAAGATTTAATTCATAATCTTTTGGAATTTCATATAGTCCCTAATATGAAACCCAAAACTAATGTAGTACCTTCAAGAAAGCCAAACTTAAAATTTAAACTTGATTCAACCCTAATTGAATCAAATCATATCACATTGTTTGCTTCATGGATTGATAGAAAAGATTCTTATAAAAAAAATGATATTCCTTATGAATTTAAGTTATTATATTGTTCAAGTAGAGATGGATTTGATGCTGCATCATTTCATAGAAATTGTGACAATAAAGGAGCTACTATTTGGATAGCAAAAATTCAAGGTACAACACAATTAATTGGAGGATATAATCCACTTGATTGGAAGGGAAATAATGTTTGGAAATACACCACGGATAGTTTTTTATTTCATATTGCAGATGAAAAAAATGCTTTTACTGCAAAATTAGGTTATGTTAATAATAACAATGCAAATTATGCTATTTATTGCAGTAGTGATCATGGCCCACACATGGGTAATTTCTATTGTAACGGTACCAACAATTGGACATTTCATAATTCTATTAATGATGTTATTTTTGCTTATCCTAAAATAGGAATTCCAGAAAGTTTTAAGGTGGAAAAATATGAAGTATTTCAAGTAATTAAAAAATAATTACTAAATACATCTCCATTTTTTTGTAATCTTTACAAAATAAAATTCAATTATTTATGTTGAAAATTTTTCTACAGTGGTGATTATCAGAAGAGAGTGACTACTTAATTTTGATTTTTACAATACTATTAGAATTTTTTATTTTTTAAAAAAAAATTCGTTTACATAAGAAAATTATTTCCTATCATAACAAATGGTAATAAAATCTAAATAAATGTATGTAATTAAAATGAAAAAAAAAATAATAAAAAGTATTAACTGTAATACATGTGATTCCTCTCAAAATTTTCCTTTTTTCGCAATTAAATAATTTAACAGAAATGATGAAGAATTTATATTCAAAAAATTGTCAGACAAAACGTTAACAAATTCATCTTATGTTTGAAATATGATCTTACTTGTCACTTTTTGGCCGTATGCGGCATTTTTCGTTTAACCCATTTTCTTTCATGCGCGTTGATAGTTACTATTATCTGAAAATTTCACATTTTTCACTCTTTTTTTATATCTTTTCTTCGATTTTTTTGTGGTTGGCTGACTAGTTTTGGTTTGAAACGGGATTGTCTATTTGAAGTTTTGCTCCAGATCATCGGATTTTGCGGCATAAATTATTTCAATTATTTGATAATTAATAAATGTTCGTACTACGTTAAAAAATTAATTTTTTATTTATAAAAAATCAATAAGTTCAATATGTTTCAATTAATATAATTATTATAAAGATTTATTAATAGTAATTAATCATAGTCTTGTAATCTATTTTCGTCAAAAAAAAAAAAACTTTTTTTTACAAATATCTTATAAATTTACTTTGTCTTAAAAATTTCGGTTTAATAAGAAACATACAAAAAAAAAAAAAAATTAAAAAAATTTTTGGTTCAAAAAACTGAAAAAAAAAATAAGAAAATAAACTAAAAAAAATATTTCTGTTCGAAAGATCGAAAAGTAAATAAAATAAAGAAAGAAATTTCGGTTCATTCAGATCAACCGCAGTGAGTCAGCTTAATCGTGATCATAATCGGCGTAAAAAAAAAGTATTGCAAACAATAGTTCATAATAATTAATACATTTTAATAATCATCAACATTAACGTAAAATTTACTTAACGAAAGATCAGATTATATCAATTTTGCTACGCCGAAATTTCTCACATTATAATATTTTAGTTAGATGTCCCATTTTAATTTCAATAAAAATTGTATGAGCGACCATAATATGTAATAGTATATTTGTAGTTTATGAATCTTTATTAGTATCCGCAAAATTTATCGTATACATTACAAAAATTTTTATATAAATTAAAATGGAGTAAGCTGAATTTCATACTACTTTTTTCGTATGATAAGAATTTTTCATATTAAAATTTTTGTAGAGTATCAATAACTTTGTAAATGTTTTAACAATAATAAGACCTTTGTTTATGTGATCATTCGTTGATCAGATAAAGTATTAATACGGTTATGGTTAGCCTAAGTTCTTAAAATGGACAGCTTTTTATTTGTATAACATTCACCATTCGTAACAAACAATTTTTTTTTCTTCGCTTTACCTTCGTATTTCGCAAAACTTAAGAATAAAAATGTCCAAACAATTTTTTTCAAAATTAAGTCAAAATTATATTGAAGTTTTAGAAGATAATGAGTATTATGATATTACTATTGAAGTTGGTGAAGATCCAAATGTAAAAATATTTCGTGCACATATGATTATTCTTTGTTATCGTTCTCCATTTTTACGACGAATTTTAGCTTCCAAAAAAATGAATAATGATGGTACCTTGGTTCATATTAAGTTCCCAAATATTTCACCAGAAATTTTTCAGATTATTTTAAAGTAAGTTATACAGTAATTTAATAATTATTTAAAATATTAAATATTTAATATTATTTATATTTAATAATATAGGTATGTTTATGGTGGTATAATTTCATTAAATGAGAAAGAACCTTCGGAGATTTTAAGAGTATTAACCACTGCTGATCAACTTTGTCTTCAAGAAATAGTTGATTATTTACAAGAATATTTAATTAATAATGAGTTTGAATGGATGGAACAACATTTTGGACTTGTTTATCAAATAGGTTTTCAATCTAATTCTTTATTAGAAATTCAAAATTTTTGTACAAATTGTATGACTAAATCTCCACAAAAAATATTCAAATCATTTGATTTTACTTTACTTTCTGAAAAATCTTTAATTTCACTCATTAAAAGAGATGATTTACAAATGAAAGAAATAGAAGTTTGGGAATACGTATTAAAATGGGGTCTTGAAAAAAATTCTACACTTCTTCCAGATCCTACAACTTGGTCAGACGATGATTTCAAAACGATGGAAAATACTTTACAACATTGTTTACCTTTGGTTAGATTTTTCAGTATTTCATCCGAGGATTTCTTTAAAAAAGTACGCCCTTATAAAAAACTTTTAAAGCATCAACTTTATGAAGAATTATTAGAGTCTTATTTAAATCCTAATAGTGTACCAAGTGACAATATTTTACCACCTAGGTATAGAAGTAATGATGGAATTATTGATTCAACAATCATTAATTTAAATATCATCTCTTTAATTTCGAGATGGATTGATAATGATGTTAACTTCTATAAGAGATTTATATTTACCATATGAATTTAAACTATTGTTAAGAGGTACTAGAGATGGATTCACTCCTAAAAAGTTTCATGAATTATGTGATAATATTCTTAGTACTGTGACATTCATTAAAATAAAAGGATCAGAAGAAATTATTGGAGGATATAATCCTTTGAAATGGAAGACACCACATGATGATGATGTTGAATGGGGTGAAACAAAAGATAGTTTTATATTTTCTTTTAAAAATAAGGATAATTTTAAAGATTCAATTTTAAGCCATGTAGATGATGCAAGCAATGCGTTATTTTACCATAATAGATTTGGACCTACATTTGGTAATGATGATTTTGATATGTATGCAAATGAGGGTAATGATAAAGAATATGATTATTTTGGATGTAAACAACGAAGTTATGAAAAAAAGATAAGAGATATTGAAGGGGTGTTTTCAATGGAAGATTATGAAGTATTTCAAATTATAAGGAAAAACGATTAATTATATATATAATGTGTAATTGTTTTATTTGAATAACTTTTTTAATATATTTAATATATTTGAAACATTATTTAATAAAGTTATTTTGAATTTATTATCAAACGTGTGATAAGGTCATAACTCCTAAGTCATGCTTATCCGTTACTGTATATGTAATATCCTAAGGAGGTTTCTTTGTATATCTTTTTACTTTACATAAACTGACATGTGAGCTATTATAAAGTGTGATACGTAAATGAAAAAAAAAAATACTGGATGAATGACTTTACCGTGAGGTTCCATATATACTTACGCTTTGGCGTATTTAATGAAATTCATTTTGATATTGTTTATACTGTACTATAAAATTTTCTTTGTAAATTATTGAAAAATACAAGTGTTACAATATAGTCTAATCACAATTTTATTAAGTATTTAAATTAAATTATTTTCCGTATAAATAAAATAATTTTATAAAGAAACTAAATCTTTATTTTATTTTTAGATTAAAAATCAAAAAAAAAAAAATATTGCATTCGTGATATAATGAAAGAAACTCTGTAATATAAAAATTATCTAACATCTATTAGGATTTATGCCATAATATTAGCAACTTTGCAAGTCAGAATCTTCATGTTATGATGTTAAATCAATAGATTATATTAAATAAATTTAGTACCCATATAAAATGTTAAACCATATGCTAACGATAGATTAAATCTGCTTTGACATGAACACCCAAAATCTGCTTTATTTTTTATATATACTATTTGTAATTGTAATTGCTAAAGATAAGTATGTCAATTAAATAAATAAATATAAATGAATTGCGAATATTTGTATAATTTCTTTGATCATCATTTAATCACGAAATCGTACTTGCAATTTTTTAGAAAACTTTGATTTTAAGTTAATAGTGATATTTCTTAAAATTATTTTAATAATCTATTTCAGCTAAAGAGTAATTTATTTATTTGTAACTTTTTAGTTTCTAACTCCTGATGGGATATTATTCAAAAATTTTTTAAAAAAATGTCAATATATATACTAAATTTACAAATCTTACGGGACCCACTCGAAATAATGTGTAGATCCCTCCCTTTTAGATAATTCAAAGCAGAATTACGTAATTCTGACCCTAAAGAGATGTGTAGTTTCGAAAAAAAATTCTTTCGAAAGGCATCTTACCTTCGAAATTTTGTAACCCGCTACTCAAATCTATTAAAAAAAGTAAAATGAATCTAAAAATTAGAAATTCCGTTGATTAATTATTGCTATATTTTTCCGAGATATTTCTTGATGCAGATTAGTGCATCGGGAAAAATATGGCCCGAAAAAATGAATTATTTCTAATTTTGGTTAAAATATTCCTTATTCATTAATACACTAAATAAAAAAAAAAAAAAATTGTTTAAAAAAAAAATTCGTTTTCAGTAAAATAAATTTCTAAAATAATCATAATGGAAACTAAATCAAATATCTCAGATAAAGACTCTAATTCAGTTAATACCAAAAATTGTTCATATTGCAATAGATCTTTTAATGAAGAATTATGGTGTAAAGAATGTATTAATTCTTTAGAAAAATTAGCAGAAAATGGTGATGAAAAAGCAATGTTTAATTTAGCCAATAGTTATAAAAATACAGAAAAAACAGAAAAGAATTTAGAAAAAGCCTTTTATTGGTATCAAAAAGCAGCAGAAAATGGTATTAAAGATGCGATGTTTAATTCAGCTAGATCTTATGAAAATGGAAAAGGAACAGAAAAGAATTCAGAAAAAGCCTTTTATTGGTATCAAAAAGCAGCAGAAAATAGTCATGCTAAAGCAATGTTTAATTTAGCTAGTTGTTATAGGAATGGAGAAGGAACAGAAAAGAATTTAGAAAATGCCTTTCATTGGTATCAAGAAGCAGCAGAAAATGGTATTAAAGATGCAATGTTTAATTCAGCTAGATCTTATGAAAATGGAAAAGGAACAGAAAAGGATTCAGAAAAAGCCTTTTATTGGTATCAAAAAGCAGCAGAAAATGATCATGTTAAATCAATGAATAATTTAGCAATATGTTATGAAAATGGAGAAGGAACAGAAAAGAATTTAGAAAATTCCTTTCATTGGTATCAAAAAGCAGCAGAAAAAGATTATATTAAAGCAATGTTTAATTTAGCATTATGTTATGAAAATGGAGAAGGAACAGAAAAAAATTTAGAAAAAGCCTTTCATTGGTATCAAAAAGCAGCAGAAAATAACCATGCTAAAGCAATGTTTAAATTAGCCATATGTTATGAAAATGGAAAAGGAACAGAAAAGAATTTAGAAAAAGCCTTTCATTGGTATCAAAAAGCAACAGAAAATGGTATTAAAGAAGCAATGTTTAATTTAGCCTTATGTTATGAAAATGGAAAAGGAACAGAAAAGAATTCAGAAAAAGCCTTTCATTGGTATCAAAAAGCAGCAGAAGATGATATTAAAGAAGCAATGTTTAATTCAGCTAGATATTATGAAAATGGAGAAGGAACAGAAAAGAATTTAGAAAAAGCCTTTTATTGGTATCAAAAAGCGGCAGAAAATGGTATAAAAGAAGCAATGTTTAATTTAGCCGTATGTTATAAAAAGGGAGAAGGAACAGAAAAGAATTCGGAAAATGCCACTTATTGGTATCAAAAAGCAGCAGAAAATGGTATTAAGCAATAGCCATGTTATGAGAATGGAAAGGGACAGAAAAGAATTCTGAAAAAGCTCTTTATTGGTATGAAAAGTCAGTACAGTTCGTCAGTTCGTCATAAAAATGGAGTTCGTCATCTCCTAACATTTCAATGTATTGACTTAAAAAATTGTTTAAACATTTCTTCTGTTAAAATTTATAAATTTTAAAAATGGTAATCTGCTTTAAATGATTATCAGGATATTGAGTAATTCTATAAAGGAATTTTAGAAGTCAATAAATGTATTAATTATTTAGGATATTTATTTCTCTTGTAAGATTGTGCAAATGGAAATTTATTTTAAAATATGTCTTAATAATTATTGGTGTCGTAATGTATGTGCTATTATTCCAAATTGAGCAATATTTCGATAATGTCACTTTATGCTAAATCGTATTATTCGCTGTTACTAAATATATCCCTATAAAAAAAGAATGTCCGGAAATTGTAGCTGAAAACGTCCGGAAAATGTTTATTTGTCTGGAATATGTCCGGAATATTGCAATATTCCGGACGTTGGAAAATTTCCATTTTCCGGAAAATGTCCAGAAAATGTCTAGGAGGGTTCAGACCCAGCGTCCAGAAAGTGTCCGGAATATTGCAATTTTCTGGACGTTTTCCGGACACACGGACATTTTCCGGATGTTTTTAGCTACAATTTCCGGACATTTTTTTTTTACAGGGTATACGAAGTTATGAACTGTAAATTATTATATGATATTTACCATGCAGATAAGTTATTATAAATTTTAATGATTTTAGATATCCGATACTTTAAGTACGAAAAAAAATAAATTTCAAATACCTTATTAAATTTCACATGATTTGCCTTAGTCTACATAGTAAAATTATAAACTCAAAAATCATGTAAAATACTATTAAGAATATTATAAATACAAATTTTTTCATTTGTATTTGAAAATTTCAATATTAATTTAAAAATCATAAAATGGTGTATAAATTTTGTTTGAACCCATTCAAAATTTTCTGATATATTCTTTGACTATTCCTTTTGATTTATATATTTGTAATAGATCTATAAAATGTTGATGCGATTCTTGCTCCCATGCTATTAAATATAATAACATAGGATGTCTATCCCTTCAATTATCAGTTGTATTACTATTATTAGAACTAAGAACAAACCTTTATTACTGATTTAACAAGCTAATTGGTACAGATCTTGTCAATATTTTGAATAATTTATTCCAATTAAATTCATTTATAATCATATGCTCCGATAATTTCTAATCCCATTAAAATTAAAAATTAATTAATAAATATTTCCAATTTGTGTCACTATGGGATTTTATTTCTAAATTTACTAGATATAAAAGAGATTTTGTGAGAGGTTCCCAAAATATTCTCAAATACTGTATAGTATCGGCACATTTAATTAAAGATTCTTCAAGTGTCTTGCTTTCATCATCACAATAAAAATATTTAAATACTGAAAAGCAATGTTCATTCCCTGCAATATGAAAATATGATAGCCTTTGGAAAAGAGAAACAAATTTTGTATTCATATTAAATAATATTTAGTTCATTATCATTATAGCGTAAGGTAATTTACTTTCATCATCATATATTGCAAAAATGATAAATTCAAATGTTTCTAAAAACTAATACAATTAAATAAAGGTTGCTGATATGTTTCTATAGCAAGATTAATTCCTTTATTCTTCAAATTATTTCTTCTGATAGATGTAAAATCATTACATTAAATAAATTATTACATACAGCACATTGTTGAATGGAATCGTCTAACAGGGTCATTCCATTAAATTAATTGGTACCGTTATTTTACACCATGTTCTGCTAGTAAAAAGACATGAATAAAGAGATTTGTTACATCTTCTAATTCTTTAAATATCAAATAAATAACGTCTTGATTGAGTTCAAACATTTTTAGAGGAAAGAAAATAGCTCATTAACGTCATTTTATAGTTTTATTGTTTAGGATTGCATAAATATGTAACAAGCAATATGCTGGACATCAGATCCCAACGATCAGAATCCTGTTATATCACAAGCCCGTCGCTCACAATCCTGACAAATCATAATCCCGAAAGTTCAAGATCCTGACACTCATTATCCTGGCACTTATTCATTACAAAATATAACAAAATGTCAAAATTATTGCGTCTAAAAAAAATTTAAAAAAAAAGATAACATTGGTCGCCAGGACCCGGGCAATTATAATCAAGGTCATATCCCTATGTTAAGAATTTTAAAAATTTATTATTGCCATCTTCTATGTATACTGATAGTGAAAAAGTGTATATTTTTTTGCCAAATTTTGCCTTGTTACACAACTTTATCTCTAATTTTAATCAGTAAGTTTGCATAATTTTGGTATCAAAAGTTTCTTTCTTTAAAAGAAACATTTTTATCTATATTATTTCATAATATTAAAAAAATAATATATTAAGTTTAAAACATAATCGGATGTGACAACTATGGGGTCCTTGGTCTCCAGATATTTTTATGCTCACGTGTCTTTTATAGTTTATTTATACCTTTCCCATCATTGGACGTTAGTCTCCATGAGATAAAAGAGTTCATGATTTTCACGAAAATCACTGATATTCATGAAATAACTATTACATAATATGTTTTTTAAAATATTTCGAAAACATTAATGGTTTTTATTTAAAAATTAAATTTTTATTAATATTTTAAATAAGTTTAATAATTATACTACGTAAAATTTAATAATGTTATTAGTCAAAAAAAAAAAAAAAAAAATTCAATTTGCTCATATCGGCTGATTGGAAAAGTCCCCCAATTTTTTTGGGGATTTAATTAAAATTTACTATAAATAGAATTCTATTTACGCGTTTGATTGGTTATGATTTTACATTTTCAAATTAATAAAAGATTATCATATTGCAGATGGTGTAACTGCTATTTGCGATATAATATATTACACGTAAAAAAAAATTTTTTTTTATTAAAAAAGAATTATTTTATCAGAAAAAAGATGGAAACTAATGAAACTCCTTTACCGCCTCAAATAAATCAACAAACTAAGAGAAAGAATCCTGTTGAAATTCATAACTATCCTAAAGAAAATATCATTCAATATTTTGAACTTGGACGAAGTTATACCTATAACGTTATTGAAGAAGGATATTACCCGCCTGCTAATTATCTCAAATATACAAAAGGTCAAAATTTTCGAATTCCTGATAATTATGAGATTGAATCTAGTTGGGGAAAGCCTAAGAAAAGGCAATCAGTTAGGTGTATAATTAAATATGTAGAAAAAAATCCGGTTTACTGGGTGTATTTTGGAAAAGCATTTCAATATCATGTAAAGTCAGAAAAATCAAGTTCAGATGCGGCAGGTTTATATGCTAAGGTATATATAGTTATTTATTAAATTTATTATAAATTGATTAATACAAAAAGTAATATTTAAGATAGGTCTTAGATCCAGAAACTAAGACACGTTATTCAGGACCACATTTCTTTGGTCTTCATTTGGAAGTACTTCAGCAAGCAAGAGATGCTCACCGACAAGTAACAATCTTAAAATCATTTGATAATTTGACTTCAACTGGACAAAATAATCGAGCAAAAAAAATTGCAAAATCTGTATATGCAATATTTGATCAAACAACAACAGAAAGTTGTCATTCAGAAGATGATCCCAGTTTAAAATCAATTGAGTTCAATATTAAAAAAAAATCATTTCATTTTAGTGTTGGTAAGGAAAATACTGAGGAATTAAAGCATAAGGCAAGAGCTGCTGTTCAAGCGTGTGATAAAGGTCAAATAACACGTGAAGGTTATAGAAATTTAGCTTCGATCAGTCATGATTTACCACGTGAATGGAAAGTTTCTGCAGAAAGAAAAGAAATTACATACGAAATGAATGAAATTATACCAATTTCACTTGTAAATATAGCACCACCACTATCTGACAATTCTTTAAATTCTGAAGTGCATATTAATGATGCTGAAATCATTGATAATATGCAACAATCAATTGGAAAAGGAGGACGACGAAATATTATTAACATATTAAAATACTTAATACCAGATCTAGTTAAAAAAAAGGTGTTAGACACAACAAATCCTGAAATACATTTGCGAATTTCTGGTGATGGGAGGAATGTTGGAAGAAAGGTTAAACAAGTGATGATTACTTGTTCAATTATTGATGATATTGATAATTTCCATCGGCCAGAAAGTCATCATACCACAATTCTATATCCTGGTATCGAAAAATATGAAACTTTACATATTGTGTTAGAGCCATTAATTGTTGAATTGAGAAAGCTAAAAGAAGAAGGGTTAAAAGATGATCAGGGCATTAAATGGAAGATTGAACTTTATTTTTCGTCAGATTGGAAGTTTCTTGCAATTTGCTTAGGGATGAATGCGGCAAATAGCAAGTATTTCTGCCCATGGTGTGAGGTATCTAAAGAGCAGCAAGGTGATTTTTCATATGAGTGGACAATTAGTAAAACTATGGATCAAATTCGTATAGATCATACATTTTATCAAGGCTATATTCGACCAGCAATTTTTGATATGATTCCATTACAAAATTGGGTTCCAGATGAACTGCATGTTATGCTACGCATTACAGATGTTCTTTGGCGACTGGTAATTGATGAACTTAAATCTAGAAATACTTGGGGGGATAGAGCAAGAAACGTAATTGTTGAAGAAATGAAGCATATTGATGTTAAATTTCATTTTTGGCTTGAAGTGGGATCAACTAATTGGCAATATACTTCTTTAATGGGGCAGGATAAGTTAATTGTACTTCAACATTTTAATTTAGCTAAACTTTTTCCAAATTCTCGAGCAGCCCAAATTCGAAATTTGTGGAATAACTTTTATTCACTTCACAAGGCAATGAAAAATCCTAAAACCGATGCTGCACAGTTTTCTAACGATGCACGTGCATGGTTACATCAATTTTTGGATTCTAATTATTTTTACCAGGCGAGTGATATTACACCGTATATGCATGTATTAGTGTACCATATTCCAGAAATGATGCGTATTCATCACCATTTTGGTTTAGCAGCATTTTCGTGTTCAGCTGTTGAAAAAAAAAATCATCAACAAGTTTCGTATTTCTTCAAAAAAACAACTAAAGATGGTGGCACTGGAAAAGGAAGAAAATCTGCAATTGTAGATATTCTTGAACATGAAAATAGAGTTTTATATTTTAATAATCATAGTGAAATTGATTCAATTCAATTACCAAAGCGTTTATGTCTCAAGTAAAAATGATTTTTCATGTATTTTTTCGTGTATTTTTCAATAAAATTTTAAAGATTTTGGTTTGAAAATATATTTGTTAAAATATTATTGCATTAGTTTCGCTAATTTCTATGTTAATTTTAATTTTTTTATTTTACACTTTCATACAAAAGCCTTTCTATATTTCTAATTTTTATACTTTAATAAAGATTATCTACAACTTTTGTACGTGAAATTGTAAAATTTATAAAAGCAAATCCCGATGAATATACAATATTGCGCACATCTGACTTCGATTTTCTTTTCCAGCCAATAACAATTTGTATAGGCTTTGGTTTGCGAGTTCGTTGCTTTCTAGCTGCATGCATTAACGTTTGATCTTGAAGAGGGTCAGGTTCCTGAAGGGGATCTGGCTCTTGACATAAATGCAATTCTTGAAGAGGATCGGGTTCCTGAAGGGGGTCTGATTCTTGATATAGACACGATTTTTGAAGAGGATCCGGATGATTACTTGGATTTGATGGCAGCTGATATGTTAAAACAAATGTTTTTTGATGTTGCAAAAAATATTTAGCTCCACAATTATCATCTCCCAATATATGTGATAGAGTAGAGTAAGAATCAACGCCTTTAAATATACACTTATAATTCCCTGTCCTTGGATAATAATTATGTATATGCCCTTTGAAAACACCAAAAAACTGACTCTCTGTACAATTAACCATGATGTGAACGTTACCAACATGCTTTGAATGTTGTTTTAGTCTTTCCTTTATATGATAAACTAAAACTTGCCGCGTCTCTTCAATTGCCTTCTCTGGTAAATCATATATAGTTGACTTTACACTATTGGCTTCTTTAATTGTCATTGCATGTCTAGTTAAACCTGAACGTCTTTTATAAATTTTTCCACATATCTTACATTCAAACTTGTTACAAGGCGCGTTATTTGAAGACATAGGTACAACAATTGTCTTTTCTATTAAAAAAAAATTTTTTTTTAAGCAAAATATTATAATACTAACGCGTTTTTAAAAATAAAAGGTAGCAACATTGAATTTTCTTTTGGTTACTTACTTGAAATTTATTGATGGGTTCCTTTCTTGGTTGATGGGTTTCTTAGTGTTTTACATATTAAAATATTTTTTATGTGTTTATAAATTTAGAATGGAGTTTTAGGGATCTGCAATAATTCTAAGCCACTAGATCTTATGATTTATGTTACACATAACAAAATTTAGTGACATGAAATCAGGCCCAATTTTTCCGATCAGCCGATATGTTTACATTAATAAAAATGTAATGTTTTGCATATAAAGATATAAATTTTTTAAATATACTTTTGTTATTCATGAGGATATGAATTTTTTGGATTATGATTATGAGTCCAGTTTTTTGTTATAACGGGATTCTAATTGCTGAGTAAACCCGCATGGTTAATGAGATTATACGCACGTATATGAATTTCAAATAAGGCCGGTTTTCAGTATATATATATAGCTTGTATTTTAAAAGTAATGAGATCACTTGATGACGATGAATTTTTAATTTCACGCAATAATTATTACTGATCGGCAACATGTATGATTAAAGATCGTCATTTTGCCGCGTCCATTTCACCGAATTCCATTTTGTTGAATGGAATCTTGCTGAAAATGATAGTGATTAACATTTTTATAACGCGCAATGAAAATAAAAAGTATATTAGCAGATTATAAATAAAGTATAATAGTATATAACATGTAACAATAATTACTTTTTTTTTTATAACCATATAATTTTACTTGAATGATGACTCTTCCTTTGAAATTTTGTTGTCCAATTTGTCTTATTTATATATTATCTTGATACTATTATTCTTATGTCACTTGCTATTTATACTTCTCTTATCAAATTTCTTAAAGTGTCCCGTATATTTTGAATTTTGCTGTAAACAAACTCTTCCATTTTAAAATATCTTTTTTTCCATTATCACTTTAACATTTAAGTAACTAATTGTTACGCAATACATAAATAACTTTATATAGGTGCTGTCGAAATTGTAATATCAGACATCATTTTTAAGGCAAATTCTGGTCGATTAAGAAGGCATGATAAGCAAATTAAATTGGACATTTTCAAATTTTTACGAGGCAAGAATAAAAACGAAGTCGCATTAAAACTCCTGAAACTATTCGAGATGCGCAATTTATAAAAAGACATAGATACTAAGAAAACACGTGAAAACTTGACAGAAATTATAAAAGAAACCCAAAAGTTAGCATAAAAACATCATACTACAATTCTCACAATTTACTACGTTCACCATGCAATATTCTAGTGTCACTCATAAACTTATATTCATCATTTTCATCTGTTTTTTGTTTATTCACATAACTCAATGCAAGTACTTAATTTTCGATTATGTGTAGCAACTATTTGATGAATTTCTATTCTAACAACTTCGTCTATGTGTGTAGCATACACTGGAGTATCCGTCATCGGTGGTTATTGTTCGGGAATCTTTCACATATACGTAACGGACTGTAATGGTACTGTGATACGCGATAAAGGATTGGTTGATTGCACAAAAAAAAGCTTGTTTGTTGGGATGATAATCCAAACTTATATTGTGTTCATGTGTATCCACAAACTCATCAAGAAGAAATCGATATTTTATGATTCAAAATAGCGATTCATGTTTTACCCTGACTGGCGACGAGTAAGTTTGGACTTACGAAAGAGTAGGTAATGTTAATACTTGTCATAAAAAGTGATTAATGACCAACTTGTTTTATGTCTTTATTATTTGTAAAATGCTTTCAGCAATTGCATCGTAATTACCTATACTGCATCATATTATCATTATTTATTTATAATTTAATTAACCACACCATATTGACATAAATTTAATAATCCTTTTTTTTTGTACGATCAATAAAGCAATAACAAATATGTCTTTGTTTGGTTCCAAATGTTCCAAATTAGTAAAAGCCCATGTCGGGCGAAACTTTATTAAAATTTCCAGATATCTGCCTTTGTGACTAAGAAAATATAAAGAATCTAGAGAAATGGTATAGTAGACGAAACAATACAATGCTATCAAAGAGGGAGGGAGTTGATCTTAGGCCATAAATGAGAGTTCCAGTATCAAGCTATTTCAATATTGCCTACCGCTAATACTACCTACCGCTACTGCTACTGTTATTACTACTGACTGCTACTATCGGAAAAACTATCGGAAAAACTAACTAATTCCTTATTTACTTTATTCATAGTTCTTCTTTGGTGATTTTGATGTCGTTAAAAACTAGCTAATGTGCTAAAACTAAGACCGATTTCGATTGATAAAATGTAATACAGTTGTGTTGGAGAACAACTTTCTCTTTTCCTCCTATTATTAAAAGGGCCGTAAATTCAATCCAGTATGTTTCATATTCATCTGTATATTCAGAATAATGTCCCATAGAAACGTGACTTGTAGTAGAGAATCGATTTGTCCCTGCTAAAAATGAGTAAGGCGCAAATAAGTGTCAGATATAATTTTTTCTAGTGCATGACCTACATTGAGATGTCGCGTCATTTCTCCATTCAGCTTCCGAACGTATTCTTTGAAGCTCATTGCTTAATGCTAAGATAGTTCTTTCAAAACTATTATCTTGTAATCCCATTAAATATTTGCGAAAAAGATGTTAGCAATGGCAAAGATTATATAAATGTTTACATTTCCCGAAAAATGCCCTGATCATATATATCAAGACATCTCGGGTTAACATCTCCGAAAATTGCAATTGCGACGCTGAAGATTACGACAAAAAAAATATCAGTGTTTGAGATCATTGTGTTAGATTGATTTTTGTTATCTTAGAATTATGTGAAAATGTTATATGGAAGAAAGAACCTGCTCGAAATATAGGCCTGAAATAAATGGCCAAAGACGCATGCAATACATCTTTTTTCCTTGGGTTTATTAATAGATCCGCTAAAAAAAAATACATATCCACATGATAAAATGAAAATACTTTTATTAAAATAGATTTGATACATGTAAAAATAAATACATAGGTTACTAACAAACCACTTGACATTTACGTGCCTTGGAAATTCGCCTCACGTTCTTTACAAAATGATGTCTGTTATAAAGTACATATTTATTAATAATAAGAAAATAGAGTTGCAAGAAATCGCAATACAGGAATTTGGTAATATTAAATCCTTAAGCATTATATCTATCTAGAAAGTTAGAATATTTAAGCTGTTCCTCCTTGACTTCTCTTCTATTTTATGTCTGCCCAACTTGCCATTCCAAAGTCAATCAGGTAGATCATTAATTAAGATGTTTTCCTCCTGAATGTCATTGTGGAGGATTCTATGCTTGTGAATCGCTACTAACCTCTTAATAGCCCTCGACCTTTACCGTTTTGTTATTTTATGCTTACTCAACGTAGTACCGACAATGGTCATGCCGATAATGAAGCTTATACCTCCTCCATAATATCCATAACAGACTAACTTTGGGATATACTTGTCCTGATATTCAGTTAGGTCTTTATAAATCTCGACTTCTTATTGTATTTCTTCCAGGACATACGGTGGGGCTTTTGATAAGTCTACACTTTTCAAAGCAATCATATCGCCACAAAACTCACATAGGAGCATTTTACCACTTCGTCCTTCGCCCAGTATATCCTTAAACTTGAAGCATTACGGAAATTCGACATTATTGTGGTATAATTCATTTCAACATTACAATGGTGTAATAATTACGCCGCCGTAATAATTTGGTATTACCTAAACCTAAATCCACGAAGCTAAATTTTTGCTGGTCTACGGGAGTATCAGAAGATTGTTGGCAAGGAACTGTAAAGCATTTTTGAGTGTGATCAAAGAGTACGTGAATTATTGTCCCCGTGAACCGAAACTAGTACTTGAGGTTTAGGAGACTTGGGATTCTTTCTCCTGTCAAGTTAGATAAGCATATGCCTTGAGTACAGTGGAGATTCAGATTGAAGTGGAAGGGCTTTTGAGATCCGAACTCTGCATTCTCTCAGCGTAGAACAGTGTATCATAGATTCGGGAAATGCTGTCGCCGGTCGCCCATATCTTCAAAAACATGCTTTCTTTTTGCCCAATCACCAAGATCAATGAGCCCACGAGATGACAGTTGGAATCTGGTATGCTGGGACTGGGAGTATGAGTTGGACGTTTTGAAAATTCATATTCTGGCCCTGTAAGCATATTTAACACCAAACAATAATTGACGTCAATGGAAACACGAACATGCTTCTCATTTAATACCACTTTATCTGGAGTAAATTATGGCCTCTCGAACCTTGGTTGTTGGTCGATTCACTTTTACGCCCCAAAGTTTATATAATAAATAAGCTACCAAAAGTACATTAGCAACAGGCCAAATACTAACTCTCTATTAAAATTTAAATCACCCAATCATTGTAAAAAAATAAGCTAGCTAATATTTACTAATTGAACAGCTTTAAAAACAGTTTCATGATAAAATACACCCGGACAAATTTAATGTTCTTTTGTTTATTTTACTTTAGTATATTTGATTATAAATTAATTATATTAAAGTTAAAATCTTAAAAAATATAAAATTTCAGTTGATTGAATTTAATGCAATTTTATTAAGAAATTAGATATTGTGTTTTAAGACAAAAATTTAGTTTCATATAAAACTCTTACATTTAAAAATTATTCCAAAGACTTTTTTGATCATTGTATATGACTTTGAGCATCAATCATTTTTCTTTATAATTTGAAACATTTCATAATCTTCTATTAAAAACAAATCTCCTGTATCCCTCATCTTTTTTTCGTAGCTTTGTCGTATACAAATACACCAATCATATTCTTTATTATCAATATCTGCACATATCTCAATATCTCCTCCACCAAATGTAGGCCCAAAATTATTTCTATAATACACCGCACGGCTTGCATCATTTACATGGCTTAAAATTGGTTCTTTAAAATTATCCTTATTTTTAAAAGAAAATATAAAACTATCTTTAGTTTCGCCCCACTTAACATCATCATTATCATGTAAAGTATCCCATTTCAAAGGATTATATCCTCCAATAATTTCTTCTGTTTCCTTTATTTTAATGAATGTTACAGTATGAGGTATACCATCACATAATTCATGAAACTTTTTAGGAGTAAATCCATCTCGGCTTCCTCTTAATAATAATTTAAATTCGTATGGTAAATATAACTCTCTTGTGTGAGCAAATTTACTTTCAACATCATTATCAATCCATTTTGAAATTAAAGATACAACATTCAAATTAACAATTTTTGAATCAATAATTCCATCAATGTTTCTATATCTAGGAAGTAAAATATTATCATTTGGTTCACTATCGGGATTTAAATAAGATTCCAGTAACTCTTCATAAAGTTGATGTTTTAAAAGTTTTTTATAAGGTCGAACTTTTTGAAAGAAATCTTTAGATGAAAGACTAAAAAATCTTATTAAAGGTAAACAATGTTGTAAAGTATTTTCCATCATTTTTAAATCATCATTTGACCAAGTTATAGGATCTGGAAGAAGTGTAGGATTTTTATCAAGTCCCCATTTTAATATATGTTCCCAAATTTCAATTTCTTTCATTTGTAAATCATCTCTTTTAATAAGTGAGACTAATGACTTTTCTGAAAGAGAGGTAAAATCAAGTGATTTAAATATTTTTTCAGGAAATTCAGCCATTAAATTTGTACAATATTGTTGAAGTTCTAATAAAGAGTTAGATTGAAAACTTGTTCGATAAATTAATTCAAAATATTTTTCCATCCACTCAGATTTATTTTCAATCAAATATTTTTGTAAATAATCAATTATTTTTTGAAGAAGTAGTTGATCAGCAGCAACCAAAACTTTTAAAATTTCAGAAGGTTCTTGCTCGTTTAAAGAAATGACACCACCATAAATATATCTAAAAAAAAAAAAAATTTTTTTATGATAAATATAAAATATTTTATTTTAAGGTGCAAATAAGAATTAGAATGTAAACTTACTTTAAAATAATTTGAAAAATTTCTGGTGAAATATTTGACAATTTAATGTGAGCCAATACATCATTATCATTTTTTTTGTTGGAGGATAAAATTCGACGTAAAAATGGAGAACGGTAATACAGGATGATCATATGTGCACGAAATATTTTTACGTTTGGGTCCTCACCAACTTCAATAGTAACATCATAATATTCATCATCTTCCAAAATTTCTATATAATTTTGACTTAATCCTGAAAAAAATTGTTTGGACATTTCTTTTATTAAGTTTGCGAAATACAAGAATAAACGGATAAAAAAAATAAAAAAAATAAATAAATAATTGCAAATGTGAAATGTTATACAAATAAACAGCTGACGAATGTTATTCCTTTTTAAGAACATAGGCTAACCAGCCTAACCATATTAATACTTAGTCTACCATTAATTAAAATCTGAATAAGTTTGAATTTGCAGTACATGCGATAATTCTAAAAACTAATGTTATTTAGATATTTAATTGCAATAATACGAATACATGATATTACCTTAGGGTCTTCATATTTTTTGTCCAATAAGTCGAATAATTATTAATCTAGTATTTTATAATAAATTTCATTAGATTTTAAGCTAAAGCCAAAAATAATAAATATGTTCCGTGAAATAACTGGCTTATAACACGGAGACTAACGTCCGTATACAATTTTAAGCTACTGATAGACTTTTTTAGCTACGGACGACTATTAGGAAACCTGGTATAATAATCAATACTTGCTTCAATATTACTTCGATATTATTACGCTTTATTATTATTAAACTATTAAACTATTTTATCGTTTACGACCTGCCATAGCTGTATTTATAGACCCACAATGTTTTTATATTAGGAAGATCCTAATTTTAAAATTTCTTATTAATGGCAAAAAAAAAATTAAAGTATAGAGTTCTACTTATTCCATTTTCATACGAAAGTGTTAAAAAGAATGTGTTAATACTTTTGCGGATACAAGCGTTATTATTATATTCATTACATATCATTGATTCGTTAATGCAAATTTATTAAAACAACACTAAAACACGCGACTAATATGCAAACTGTATACATAAGTTCGTTGAATATATGTCAGATATAAATATAGATAGGCCGATAGGTCGCCAGACATTATTGATTATCATTGATTTTATTGAGTTAGATCAGTTTTAATTCATTCAAGTTTTGGCATAACAAAATTGAAAAATCGTAAATTTGAATAAAAAATGATCAAAATAATAAAATATAATAAACCCAGATCCATGTTCATATGATTATCCTGTATTATAATTCTCCATTTTTAGGACAAACTTTATTTATTAACTGCAGAAGAAAAAGCAATAATGGTTATAAAGATAATAAGAAAATTATTTACTATCTGTTGTTTGAAAGTTGATCATAACTTTCTGGACTTGAGTCATTAAATCGATAAAATAATATATCACGTTTGCTTTTTTCCTGGACATCAAAAATTTCCATAACTTATTCAATTTAATAAATTTAAATTTTAAACATCAATTAGTATTTTTCTTTATAATTTGAAATACTTCATAATCTTCTATTAAAAAGTTATCTTCCTTATCTCTTATCTTTTTTTCATAACTTTCTTGCTTACACCGACAATAATTATATGCTTTTGAATTGTCATTCACGTCCACACGTATATTAATATCATCATCAAATGTGGGTCCATATAAAGTATGAGAAAATATTGCATATTTCATATCTTTAACATGACTTAAAATTGGATCTTTAAAATAATCATTCTTACTTTTAAAAGAAAATATAAAACTATCCTTAGTTTTACCCCATTTACAATTAACATGAGTTACCCATTCCAAAGGATTATATCCTCCAATAATTTCTTCTGTTCCTTTAATTTTAATAAATATTACAGTATGAGGTATATTATCACATAATTTATGAAACTTTTTAGGTGTAAATCCATCTCTAGTTCCTCTCAATAATAACTTAAATTCATATGGTAAATAAAGTTTTCTTATATAGTCAAACTTACTTTTAAGATTTATTTTATCAATCCAACTAGATATTAAAGATGCGATATTCAAATTAATAATTCTTGAATCTATGATTCCATCAATAATTTTGTATCTAGGAAGTAATATATCATCATTTAGCTGATTATCAGGTTCTAAATAAGAAATCAACAAATCCTCATAAAGTTGGGGCTTTATAATCTTTTTGTATGGGTGAACTTTTCGATAGAAATCTTTAGATGAAAGACAGAAAAATCTAACTAAAGGTAAATAATGTTGTAAAGTATTCTTCATCATTTTGAAATCATCATCTGTCCAAGTTGCAGGATCTGAAAGAAGCGTTGGATGTTTTTCAAGACCCCATTTTAATACATTTTCCAAAACTTCAACTTCTTCCATTTGTAAATCATCTCTTTTAATGAGTGAAACCAGAGACTTTTCAGGAAGAGAAGTAAAATCAAATGATTGAGGAGATTTACTCATACAATCTGTACAAAAATTTTGAAGTTTTAATAAAGAGTGAGATTGAAAGCTTGTTCGATGAATAAGTTCAAAATAATTTTCCGTCCATTCAGATTTATTTTCAATCAAATATTCTTGTAAATAATCAACTAGTTCTTGAAGAAGTAATTGATTGGCAGCAACCAAAATTTTTAAAATTTCAGAAGGTTCCTGCTCTTTTAAAGAAATGACGCCACCATAAATATATCTAAAAAAAAAAAAAAAAAAAAAAA